TTGCAATATATGGATATATAAGTTGTAAAATATACAGGCACTGTATATGTCATCTCATAATATCCAAAGCATTGAAGCATTGAATTGTCACCATCACATTGAATGTGTGGCACCCATCTGCTGTTTCTTTACCATAAATTGAACAGGATATTTTTTACAGTGTGCACTTTAAAGCGACTAAAGAAACTAGCTGTATTTCTTAGGTTGTCATCTGTTTCCATTTCAAACTCGTACCTTTTGAGCTGTGTTTTCTCGGCGGCTGTGATGAATGATTTCCTGAGTTATTTGGCGGTTTCCACTGAATGTTCAAATGAGATTGATGGCACCGTTGTCCATTCTGGAGACCACAGCGGTTCTCATGAAACGTCCCTCAACCCAATATAGAGACAGCGAGCGTTTCCTGAGAGAGGGAACAGAGCAGGACTTTATTATGAGAGTGAGTCCGATGAAGCAAAGCTAGCATATTGTATTTTTTTCAACCTTTTCAATTAATTACCATTTCTTTTATAGTTTTATGACTTTTTTATGACTAACATTTTAAAAGCATATATGTTTTTATTGTTTCATTGTTTATCTTAGCTTTAATTTATTTTTATTTCAGTTTTGCTTTTAGTAATTTTAGTACTTTTATGTCAGTTAGATACCAAGACAACATTCCAAATTTTCACACATTTTTTCATGTTTTTCTCAGAGTGATTTAATATTTATATTGTATTTTATTTTTAAAAAATTTGTTTTTGTCTTTATATTTTAGCTTTAATTTATTTTTATTATTTTATTTATATTATTTTTATTTTATTATTTTATTTATATATTTTTATTTTTGTAATTTTATTTATCAGTTTTAGTTTTCGTGATTTTAATTCATCAACTTTATTTCAATTAGTTGCCAAGGCAACAACAAATTTCGGCTTGTTTCTTTACTTAAAAAAAAGTGTTTACATTTTTCTTAAAGTTATCTAATATTTATGTTGTATTTTAATGCAATTAAAATTTTAAGTACTTGAACGTTTTTTACCAATTAACGAAAATATTTTTAATAGAATTAGAGAAAAAACTCTCAAAAGTAGAGTTTTGCACATGGTGGCACTCTTATTTTCTTTAGAAAATGTAATCTAGTTGTCAACTTATTCTTTGGTCTTCTCATTATGCAATATCTCAGCATGGTAATCACAATTTCCGTTCAAATGAGAATAAAACTAGCTGACACAGACTTTGGCCGACTTTTGGCTCCAGTGCGCCACCATTACATTTCAAACGGGTGGAAATAGAAACTGATGTGGAAAAGAAAAGCATTAAGAAATGTCTTTGCGGGAGTCGTCTCTAACCGTTGAGACATGTAGGCAAGTCCGTTCTCTCCCCTCTGTGCCACACAACCTGTAATTAGCACAAATTGTTGGCTCCTTAAGTTGTTCTTCCGAACACCAACCAGCCATTTTTGACCTCTGATCCTTTGGCACCCATAATTCCATTTTCCATCTCTTGCTGAGTCGGAAACCACAAAGTACTTTGCAGATAGAGACAGACGGACAGAGATCTACAGTGATCATGACTCAGGTTCATTTCTAACATCCCACGTGTATCATTTGCTTAAAGGTTCTTCAGTGGCTCTTTGAAGCACCTTTGGTTCAGAAAGAACCTTCTTCTGGTCCATAATCACTGTATAGGGTTCTTGAGATGAGCAAAAGACAACCATCTCCTTCAGTATTTTTCTTGTTTCGTTTAAAAAATATCTCAACCCTGTCCTTAACCCTTAAATGCAAGAATTATAAAATTACTGAACGATAAAAACTGTAATGTATTTAAAGAATGAATTACCATTTTAAGAGTTAAGAGTTTTATTCATTTTTCTATTCACTTCCTCTTCATCTTTTTACTTTTAATTAAGGATAAAATCATTCATAATCTTTTTTTCTAAACTTTTATTTTGAGTTAGTTCCTCATCTGTTTACTACATCATCTTATTTTTTATCAACAATGTCATTATCGCACCCTTTTTTAGTTTTTTCTTTTTCATTTTTTATTTTGCGAAAGTTAAACACCCATTTGCTTTACAGTTTTTTAAAGAATTTATTTATGCATGCATGTATGTATCTATTTTTGTTGTTTTTTTTGTGACTTTTTTTATTTTGCAAAAGTTAAGTCCATTTACTTCACTTATGTTTTTAGTTATTAAGAATATAATTATTCACAATCTTTTTTCATCTTTATTTTACATATTGTATTGTGCAGCTTCTCAATGTGTCATTGAGTTAAAGTCGTAATAAACAGAAAACACAATGCCATAAAGAGGACAGTTTGGAGAGGAACGTTTTTAAATGTGCAGATCTTGCACAGCATTTGCGTTCACATACATATGTATGTTTCAGACCTAAATCACATCTTTGTCATGCAAGACTGAAGATGAATCATTATGATCCTAGTGTGGCTTTCCCTCTTTCACAACAGATGGACAAACCCCAAAGCCGTAGCGTTTGCCAGAAAAACCCATTCGTAGTTACTGCACTGATGCTTTGCCATTCATAAACTCACTGACCTTAAGAACAATACAGTTATTTTAAACCTCTCCGGTCGCTACCCATCATTCTGTTTTACATCTACATCCCTTCCAATGTTTTTTGGGAAGTAAACGCAAGCCTGCTCCAGAGCCAGAACCAAGCATGTGTGGTTATATGGTGAAGACATCTGTGCCAGTACGAGATCCTGCTGTCTGTTCCTGGGTCAGGTAATGGAGCATGAAAGTGACAAATGATTTCTCTCTATACCATCTCAGTTGTTTCTCCTTGACAATGCTGAGATGAAATTGAGATCAAATAATGCTGCTCCGATCTTTCTCCTGAGAAAAGGATTTCAGTTTCAGAAGAGGTTTTCTCTGACATCTAGGGAAGCTTAATTCCAGCATGGAATACAAAAATTAAACAAATATTAGTCACTTTTTATCTACACTTCTGACTTTTTCCCTTACAGTTCTAAGAAGAATTGAGATATAAACTTGCAATTCTGAGAAGAAAAGTCAGAATTGTGAAATATAAGTCACAGTTGACAGAAAACAATGTCAGAATTGTGAGGTAAAAAGTCGTAATTACAATTTTTGAAAAAATTCTGTGGCAATCAAAAACAATTGTGAGATTTAAACTCAGAATTCCAAGAGTGAGATGTAAACTTATGATTATGAGTTTAGAACTTGCAATTGCGAGATATAAACACAATTCTGAGAAGACAAGTCTGATTTGTGAGATAAAAAGTTGCAATTACGTTTTTTTAGGGATGCACTATCGGTATCGGGCTCGATACTGCGCTCCTGTACTTGTACTTGTACTCGTACTCGTAAAAATGCCCCGATACCAAAAGCCGATACCAAACAGCGTGTGAATAGAGCTGTGTCCAGAAAAAGAAACACTGAAAACAGAAGAGTAGAATGGAGTTATTAGAGATTAAGGATGTCTATGAAGTACATATAAGTAATTAATATAATGTTAAACATTCAATATTCACGCCTGTATAGCGGAAGTGCCCGAGCTGATAAGCAGAGCACGCTGAGTGGATTGAGCACAGATGCACGAGCTTATCGAGTGAATTTCTCACAGACATCACTGGAAAGTTTGTAGTTCGGTGGGATATGTCAAAAGCAAGTAAAACAATGCACAAGTTACTAAAGTTATTTGACGGTAAGGAGAGCGAGAGAGTCCGAGAGCGTGCACTTCTGTTGCATGATCTTGATTGCTGTTCGTTCCATTAGCGCATGCATTTGGATTAAAACTAAATCGTAAATATAAATCAAACTAAAATTATAGGGGCATTCACTATAAACAGCATTTATTTTAAACGTCAAGCATACACAACTTTATTTAAAGCAGAAGTGAAACTAGCAGACTGGGTGAAATGCGCTAGGCTGTAAGTGTCTCTCTCATTCTGCACCAATACAAACGTGTGCGCGCTGCGTATGTTTAGCTTGCTTTAAGGCCAAAGTATACTTCAGTTTTTACTCGTACGCGAGGGTCCGTGTACACTGCGCGTGACGCAAATTGCATCACCAAAATAGTACGCGTGCACTCGTATAATGTATAACGAGTGGTTCCCTGCATTATTTTAGGAAAAGGTTTTGTGATTACAGTATTGAGCTGCTGCAATGGAGCAGCTCTAATGCGCCATTAAAATGAACAGTGAAAGTAGCAAAAGCTTATACAATACATTTTAACAGGTAGAATTAAGTGTGGAAATAACTGAAGGTAATATCTGTTTGCTAAATGAAGCCAACTAACATGATTCATATTATTATTATTATTATTACTATTATTTTGTTTCTGTACCCAATATTTAAAAAAAAAAAATTACAAATGCTGTGAAAATACAGGTATCGGTGAGTACCAAAAATGAAGGTATCGGTATCGGACTCGTTCTGAAAAAAGTGGTATCGGTGCATCCCTATTTTTTATTTTTTTTAATTCAGCAGTGGAAACAAAAAAAACTCAGGAATCTGATTAAAAAATTCAAAATTGCGAGTTGTAAACTTGCAATAATGAGAAAAAATTCTGAATTGTGAAAAGTAAACTCAAAATTAAGTTTTTTATAACTTGCAATTCTGAGATAAAAACGTGCAATTCTGAGGAAAAAAGCCTGACTTATGAGATATAAACGTGCAGTTATGAGGAAAAAGTCAGAATTGTGAGATTTTTAAAAAAAAATCGCAATTATGTTTGTAATATTTTTATTTGCTGACGGTGAGGGTAAACTCGCTAATTTCTTCAGTCCAGATCTAATCTTTCTATTGATTCATTTGTGTCTCATTGTTATTCCTCCAAATGAATTTGAGAAGAGACACCTGAAACAAACTTGATTCTTCAATGAATCATAACTAATAGTAAGAGCACTGGAAGTGCAAACTCTGAGCAATAAAGTATGTCCTGGGTGTGGTACTGTGCTATTTACTTCTTTCTTGCATGATTCAGGCTTTCCTTGTTTCTTCTAACCGTCTTTATCTCCTCTCTGTGTGTGTGCAGTTGGGACGAGAGCAGCTCCATCAGCAGCGGTTTGAGTGATGGTTCTGATAACCTGAGCTCAGAGGAGCTCAACGCCAGCTCGTCTCTCAACTCCCTCCCCACCACACCTGTCGGCTCGCGACGCAACTCCTCCGCCATGGTAAGCAGCTCAGAGACCAGTATTGCACAGATCACTGTTTTTGTGCACGGAGTGATTTGGGTCTTGTTCTTGAACGTTGCTTATTTGGATTTAGTGTGACTTGGCATAAATATCTACTGGATTAGGCTAGTTAATATATTTCAGACATCATATATTTTGCACAAACAACATGATTAAATGTTCCAAATGGGGTTAGATTCAACTTTACATTGCAACTGTTGTAAAACATGCTGACAGTGGAAGTCTATGAAGCAGCACACCTCACTGCAGCCGTTAGATATGAGTGAATGTCGTGCTTTTTTCTGTTTGATTTTACAAAATGAGGGATAAGAAATGTTTTTCTATGGTAGGAAAATATCCAGAACTCATCCAAATAACCAGGCCAGTCATGTTCCTAGAACAGGACTCTGGTCTGTGGTTTAGATCAATCTACAACTAGAAATTTTGCAACAATTTGAATATGACGTTGGCCATATTCTGTCCATGAGTTAGAAATTTGACATGCTGTTGGTATGATTTTTTTTTTGTAAATTCTTACTTTTATTCAGCAAGGATGCATTAAATTGATCAAAAGTGACAGTAAAGACATTTATTATGTTTCAAAAGATTTCTATTGCAAATGAATGCTGTGCTTTTCAACATTCTATTAATCACCGAATTCTGAAAATATAAAAATGTCACTGTTTCCACAAATTATGAAGCAGCACAAATGTTTTCAACATTGATAATAAGAAATGTTTTTGAGAAGCAGATCAGCATATTAGAGTGATTTCTGAAGGATCATGTGACACTGAAGACTGGAGTAACGATGCTGAAAATACAGCTTTGATCACAGGAATACATTACATGTTACAGTATATTCAACTAGAATGTAGTAATATTTAACAATATTTTCTGTTTTTACTCTATTTTCGAATAAATGCAGCCTTGGTGAGCAGAAGAGATTTCTTTTTATCCCTTTTTACTTAAAGGGATAGTTCACCCAAAAACGAAAATTCTGTCATTAATTACTCACCCTCATGTCGTTCCAAACCCATAAGACCTTCGTTCATCTTCCGAACACAAATTAAGATATTTTGGATGAAATCTGAGTGTTTTCAGACACTAATGTAACTACCACGTTTAAGGCCCAGAAAGGTGGTAAGAACTCCGTTAAAATAGTCTATGTGACATCAGTGGTTCAACAGTAATGTTATGAAGCTACGAGAATACTTTTAATTTTTGGCTTTAACTAATCATATGGATAATTAGCACAGAATGAGTTTTTTCTAAAAATATGAACATGCAGCCACTGCTTAAAAACTAAAACTGGATGCAGACATACCAAGTCACATATTAAAATGACTTCCATATCTGTTTTTTGACATTGTTTTTCAGTTCCTTCTCTGGTAAACAATGACATAAGATAACCTCTGAGGATTTGTTTTGTGTCGAGACGAGAACGCGAGACGTCTTGACAGTTTCCGGCTCTAGTTTCAGGCTGTGGTTTGGTGTTTCTGCCATCTTCAATTTAACGTGTCTCTGGTTTGGTAGTCTGGTGGTTTTCACTAGAGTGTTATATGGATGGCCTGAACATTTCTACAGCTGATAAAAGAGTTAAACAGTTTTTGGTTTGTGGGTCTAATTTTGTCACTCTAAGTTGATAATGTTATAGAAGCATCACAAATAATGATTACAAATAATGCAACACAACCAGAGTATGAGACTCACGCATATCACATTCACCTAGAGAGCCGGGAGAGTCAGTACTTCCTTTAAACCTGGCTTTGATTTTCTTGGATGAATTAAGAGCAGCTGGTTCCTATTGGGCACGTCATTTGCTCGTTTGAAGCACTCGCTATCAGTTCACCATGAAATCAAACCTTTGTTTTCCTCGTCATTAAAGACGCAAATGTTAATTCTCAGGCTCATACAGACAAAAAGGGGAACAATATGACTTGATAGACTTTCTGTTGCTATGGTAACATCATCATAGAATGGCTACATGAAATTTTGAAGATAATTTCAATGTGCCATCTGGATGGTGCAAAAAAGAGAAATGTCATATTCTCTGCATTGCCAAATGCTTCCATTGCGATGTCCAACATTTTTATCCACAAATGGCGTGTTATATATATGTATATATATATATATATATATATATAATATATATATATATATATATATATATATATATATATATATATATAATACAAAGTTACTTATAACTGAGTAATGTGCTCTGTTTCTTACATGTTTACTTCATTATTGAAGTAAAACTGTGCCCATAGAAAAGCATCACAGAATCCAAGTGTAAATGTGGAAAAGTCTTTTAGAGTAAGATTCCCTGAGCTTCATTTTTTTTCTTCTTGAACTCTCGTATTAATCTTTATGTTTTACAGCCGACACAGAGGATGCTTTGGATTGCGGTTATTACTTTCTAGATAACAGAAACGTGCGCATCATTCATAGTGTGTTTGTGTATTTCAGTGTGTAATATGAGGCCAAGTCATAAAGTATAGAATATAAATATATAAATAAATAAATACAATGCTTTGTTTGGGGTCAGTAAGGTTTTTTAATGTTTTTGAAAGAAGGCTAGGCCAAGGCTGTATGCATTTGATGAAAACGCCAATGAAAACAATAATATTTTGAAATAATATTACAATTTAAAATAACCTTTTCTTTGTGAATATATATTAAAATGTAATTTATTTCTGTGATCTGCAGCTGAATTTTCAGCATCATTACTCCAGTCTTCAGTGTCACATGATCCTTCAGAAATCATTCTGATATGCTGCTGCTCAAGAAACATTTCTGATTATTATCAATGTTAAAAACAATTGAGCTGCTTCATATTTTTGTGGGAAACTATTTTTCAGGATTTATTTATGAATAGGCAGTTTAAAAGAGCAGCATATATTTGAAATAGAATCTTTTGTAACATTATAAATGTCTTTACTGTCGCTTTGGATCAATATAATGCATCCTTACTGAATACAATTTAGAATAGTATGGTCTCTCATATTAAATCTCATCTTCTAACAGATGTCCTGTACTCTGTGTGTGTTTAGTTGCGGACGGATGCAGAGAAGCGCTCTCTGGTGGAGAGTGGACTGGCGTGGTATAGCGAGGACAGTAAGTCTTTACGGAAGGCTGATGGAGTTTATGACACAGGCAGCTTAAAATCAGAGCCTTCCAGCAAGTGGAGGAAAACCCGACTGCCGGATGGTTCTCCGCAGGACAAGACGGGAAAAGGAGAACTGAAGAAACCTCAGAGTTTCGGACAACCTGGGAGCTACAAAAAGGGCCGCAATCCTCCTGTGGGCGTCACCTCACCCATCACACACACTTCACAAAGTGTGCTAAAAGTAGCAGGTATTTCTTTTATTTTATTTTTTAATAATTTTTGTTTTGGTATTTTATTTTGTATTTAATTGTATTATATATATATATATATATATACAGTATATATATATATAATTAAATACAAAATAAAATAACAAAATACAAAATAAAAACATAAATAACAACAAATTAAATATAAAATAAAATAACAAAATAAAAGTATATATATATAAAATTTTATTTTGTTATTTATATATTTTATTTAGTATTTTGTTATTTTTTTATATTTATATTTTTTGTGTGTGTATGTGTGTGTGCTAATGCTTTGACATAATCAGACTGTATATTTGGATATATTTTAGACATAAACTCATTAGGGGGACCTGTTGGCAGCAAAACAAAAACTTTTTGTTCTCCAAACATGCATCTTCACTTTGTCATCCAGCATGCAGCTCCAGAAGGATTATAAATTAATGTTAATATATCATGAGCTGGAAATGAATCAGCTGGACAGACTTAGGTTGTTTATATTACTGCTGTCATCCATAACCTGTCGTAAATGAAGACCATGTGCAATACAGAGACTGGTGAAGTGTCTCTTCAGCACATATCAAACCGAAGACTCGTGTGGAAACTGTAAAAGAACCACGTGATTAGTATCAAAACTGAGTCTTAACTTCAATAGTTTAAAGTTCTGTCCTCATTGCCTCACCCTCATATCAATCCACGTTAAGCTTTTCTATACAGTGACCAGAGCCTCAAAAATAGACAATAACGAACCATAAACGGACCATAAAAGAAGTCCATATGACTCGAGCCCTATATTCAGAGTCATCTGAAGTCATATGATAGATTTCTGTGAGATTTAAGTCATTAGCCGCTAAAAAAAATCCTCCTTTCTGCTGTATCTCTCAAACCTCATTAAGTCATGCTGCTTTGGTATTACATGAGGATGCATAAATCATGGTGAATCATTCCATTAACTCTTCTTCACTATGTTTTCTTGACTTTCCTCAAATGCCTGAGCACATTTCTTGAGAGAGAAGCCTGTCAGGTTTATCTTTTCACCATTTTGGTGCAGATGCACCAGTAGGCAGCCTTACCTTTCTTTGCTGGATCCATAGTTTACAATGACATTTAAATGTCAGGGGTCCATTGTACTTAGAAGAAAACCAGCAGCTGTATGGCACCATATGGCATTTTACTTTGTCATACTGCCATCCTGTTATAAAAGTACCCTCACAAATGGCAAAAACATAATCATCAGTTTAAGGAATAAAAAACATAGTGGTCATAGCACTGAATAAAACAGTTGGTTTCTGTTGTTTTTGGGTTGTGTGGTCACTTTGAAGTAAAATTACACTCTCTATATAAAGAAATGAATACTTTCAGTCAGCAAGGACGCATTAAATTGATCAAAAGTGACACTAAAAACATGTATTTATTAATGTTACAAAATATTCTATTGCTATTTCAAATTAATTCTGTTCTTTTGAACTTTCTAGTCATCAAAGAATCCTGAAAAATAAAATGTATCACAGTTTCCACAAAAATGTGAAGGAGCACAACTGTTTTCAGCATTGATAATAATCAGAAATGTTTCTTGAGCAGCAGATCAGCATATTAGAATGATTTCTGAAGATCATGTGACACTGAAGACTGGAGTAATGATGCTGGAAATTCAGCTTTACATCACAGAAATAAATCAAATTAATGCAGCCTTGGTGAGCCTACGAGACTTCATTAAGAACAAAACCGTATTATGTTTGTAAAAAAAAAAACTATGCATACTATATACTGCAGAAATCATAAGAGTAAGTATGTACTATGCACTACGTAGTAGTACGTAGCTACTCAACTAAAGTCTGGCAAGCATAAAGTTTTCATTTTAAACACTATATCAACTGCTTTATCATTCCAAACCTAACAAATGTGTTTTTAAAACTATTTTACATGAAAAGTGTGCTTGAGCTATCGCAGAATGACATTTTTAAGTGGAAAAATTGAAATTGTATCCAAAAATAAATCATCGACAATAAGCCGGCATGTTTTCAGGCATTTCTCAGCATGCCACGCTCAGATAATGCTCTCCGCTTGAGGATAGTTTATCTGTAGGCGCTTTGAGAGCTTCTGTCATTAGTGTTCGTTCAGTGATTAAAGCTTCATAGAAACTCATCTATTAGTAATTAGTCCTCCGAACATCATTGAACCTCATTAGTTCACATATTCTTGCTTGCTATTTTGGATTGTAGTATGCTCAAGTCACGCGTGCTGGTGTTTAGATCTTGTGTAGGCTGAGACGCTCTTTATCTTTGAAGTGTCTCTAATTCAATGCAGATGGCTGCTTGCCCTCGTCTTCATCAGCGATGACTCACATACTGTAGGTTTAAGCCACAGAACCTTAATCATGGCTTCAATCGGGTCCTCTCCATGACTTCATCTGATGTCATAGCCCCAAGGCTTTCGCCTTTCTAATGATACATCTCTGCGTGTCATCCTGGTGTTGGTCATTATCAGTGATTCAGCTTTGTGTGTGAAATGAAATGAAACTTTATTGACGATGAGGTTGATGTGGTAAGTTCCCACAGAAAAGTACTGCGGTGGTGCCATGGCATCGTGATGGTATTGGATGGGAATAGCATGGTATTGCAAGGAGCTGAATTATTACCGTAATCATTTATGTGGTTTATACATGATATTTCAAGGTACTTCAATAAATGCCGTGGGTTATGTCTAAAAGCATATGGGATTTCCATCCTAGAGGAAGATTTTTGGCTCACACATTGCTTTTCGTATTTCAGAATAATTAATGGAGTATGAACATCCCAAGCTTTCTGGGTTTTGGCTTTCATTGGGATTTGTGTTTAAAACTATGTTTAAAAGATAAATAGTGTTGTTTTTGGTAACTAAAGCAAAAACTATTACATGTAGTTACATTTACAATTAGTCATTTAGCAGACGCTTTTATCCTGATGAGGTCAATGGAAGCAATCAAAATCAACAAGAGAGCAATGATATGCAAGTGCTATAACAAGTTATATAGTTCAAGTTTTAGCAATTTTTTTTTTTTTTTTTTTTTTTTTTTTTTGAATATACATCTATACATTTTTATAATTTTTTTAATTCTAAACATTTTTATAAAACTAAATTAAAATGAGAAATGTTTGCTGTGCAACTAGCTGAAATTATTTTATATATATTTTATGACAGTTATTAGAATGTTTTTATTTAAATAAATAAATCATTATTTATTAAATAATTTTACTAAAGTTTGGGTTTTAGTTAACTATAATAACCCTGGTTGAAATAAAACTGATATAAAATAAAATATGAATATTAGATGGAAAACGTAAACTCAAACACCTGAATGAAAATCAAAAAAGTAGAAATAATAGAATAGAACAGAAATAAAGTTAAATAGAAATATTTTTTTTAAGTATAGAAATTATTAAAACTTACAAACTAAAATTAAAACAAAATATATCAATAAAAGGCCCATTAAAACATTGATAAACACCTTAAAGCTTATAAATAATAGTAGAATAATATTTCAACAAATAAAACAACTCAATGTTTTTAATTTTGAAGAGATTTGATAAAGATTTTGTTTTGTTTTTTTAAATGGAAAAGGTTGAATAGTTTCCATTGACCTTGTCTGAATTATGTGTAGAAGTCATACTGGATTTAATTTGAAAGGAATGGAATTCTCTGAGCGATACAATGAAAATATTTCGCTGGAATGACAATGAATCGTTTATACTTTTAAAGTCACACAATCGTGTTGTTTAAAATAAATAAATAAATAAAAATGTTATTTTCCCATAATATTCCCCTCTGTATCTTCAATCTTGCGTTGGTGCTCTTGGGTTTAAATATGCACATGTACATGTGAGTGACACTTATTGACTGTTTTCTTTCTTTCTTTCTAGTCCCTAAAGGAGACACTAAGGCAGTCGACAAGGTGAAAATGTCCGTCAAGGCAACGGGTCTCCAGCGCTCCCGCTCCGACGTGAGCCGGGACAACGAGCACCGCAAGCCTCCCTCAGGTCTGGTTAAACCCTCCGCTGGCGGCTCCTTCGGTTATAAGAAACCACCGACCACCGGAACGGCCACTTTCCTAACAGCAGGAGGCGCTACGATCACGAGCGGCTCGGCCACTGTGGGCAAAACCCCCAAGTCCTCGGGCATCCCCATCAAACCCGTCCCAGGTGGAGGTGGGCGCAAAAGCAGCCTGGACGCCAGCGGCTCCGATCAGGGGTTCCTTGCACCCAGCGCTCGCGGGAGCATTCAGTATCGCAGTCTGCCGCGACCTGCCAAATCCAGCACTATGAGCTTGACCGGACGCCCTTGCTCTCGCCCTGTTAGTGGCAGCATCGACGCCAGTCTCCTCACCCTCAAACCTGTACCGCCTCTGTCCAACACCATGCCCACCAGAGGAAGAGAAGGAGGCAGCTTGAAAGCGGCTAGTCGCCCGAGCACCACGGGACCCGTCAACCAAACGGACCGAGAGAAGGAGAAGGAAAGAGCCAAGGCCAAAGCCAACCTGGAGATCAGCTATCTGAAGGCCGAGAACCAGAGCGACAGCTGTGGAGAGACTGTGGAGAAGATCCACCGAGTGCGGAGGACGAGCACGAGTAAATACCCAGAACTGAGCTCTCCGACCAGCACACCAAGGTATGACCCTCTGCACAAATTCCACATATGAAATAAAATTCACTGCAGTCAATTGATCATTTTAGTAAATAAAATTTAGTAAAATAAAATTATATTATTTTTTAATAACAAAAAATAAAAAAATAATATAAATACATGTATATAAAAAAAATTATTAAAATGTATTAAGTGTCTTTTCATTAAAAAATTAATTAAATGTTTGTGTGTATACACATTTTATTAATATTTTATTCAATATACATTTCGTTTATTTGATATATATTTAATATTTTGTATTTATATTTAATATGATAGATAGATAGCTATTAAACGACAAACTATTTATTGATTGAATGGTTTATTTATTTATTTAAATTCTATTTTTAATGAATCAACTGGTATAAAAGTATACATTTATATTTTTTAAATCTATATTTTTTATGTTTTACACAGCTACATGACTCACTTAATTTTCCCAATTTTAGTTTTTTTATAAAATTATTTAATTAGAAAATATCATGCATTGATTGTTATGATTTGTTAAATATTTTATAAAATATTTGTACAGCTTCTGGTCTCTTGCATTGTAATTTAAATATTTAACAAATCATAACAATCTCTCCATGATATTTTCAGATAATAATTGGGACAACTGGGAAAAATTAAGTGAATCCAGAGGCTGTGGGGCACTTCAGAACATGGGGGGGGGGGGGGGTTTTTTATTTTTAAAATAAATGTTTTTTTTCCTTTCAAAAATGGGGGGGGGGGGGGGTATTTTAACTTTAAAATAAATGTTTTTTTTGTTTAGTTTTTTTAGAAAATGGGCATAGGCAACATTTTTGCAGGAAATACTCTGCAGATGCCCTGTGTGTTTATATTACGCAAGTTATGCTACTCAATTATTTAAAACCCTTTCTGGAAACGGACATCAAGAGCCTTTGAGGTTGATTTCATGGTTGGCAGAGTGTTCTTCTTTGGATGCGCTGAAATCCCTTAAGTACTTGATTACAGAAGGTCTTTGAGTTCATGATGTTTCTGATGATGACTTGGTCTCTGACTCTAACAGGTTGTTGAGCAGTAAGTCTCTAGTTCATCCTCCCAGCCTGGCTCACCTAGACAAGCTCAACTCCAACAGTCTGGACTCCTGTATCATCATCCATGACCTTCCTCCAAAGATCCCTCCCTACTCCAAGCTGCAGGACCTGGCGGGCTCCCGCGTGTCCCCTCGACTCACCCCGAGCCCCGCGCCGGTGCTCCACATCGACTCTCCCAGTTGTTTCTCAGGCCAGGCGCTGTCGGTCAGCAGCTCCCCCATCCTCTACCCCAAGATGTCCGGCCTGCACCGCAGCATGGAGTCGCTGCCGCTTCATATGAGCGTCCCCGCCAAACCTGATCTGGGACACCGGGAAGAAACCAGGAATACTGGGACGTGGGGCGCAGGCAGTCGGACGTCCATCACTTTGGGCGACAGGTGAGTTTGGGTCTGTTTATTAGTTGTACGATGTTTAAGTGAGCAAAGTAGAGCAGAACCATGATTTTATATAAAATCAAATCTATGAAATCATTAAATTCATAAAATTTTAATCGTGGCCAATCTTTTATTTTATTATAAACTATTATATTATTTATTCGTAATTGTGCTATAATATTATTATTAATTATTATGTTAATTATTAATATAGTATTTTTATTCAAACAAAGCTTATTTATGAAACATAAATATAAAAATATATTTATTAAAATATACATTTATTTTTATATAAAATTTTAATTATACATGTAAATAATCATATATATCTCTGTTTATTTAAGAACAAATATATTAAACCTATTATTATTATATAATGTTAATTTAATATATATTAAGGATGGTAAGATTAACTGATTCCCATCGGTGCATCAGCATAAAAGTTAACGATGCGATGCATCGATTTAAAAAAGTGTGCATTGGATACAGGTTGGCATTTGTATCGCGATGCATCATTTCTAACATATTTGCATTGGTAAAAAAAACAATTTATATATATATATATATATATATATATATAAAGCATTGGGAGTCACGATTTTCTCTGTGTAATTCGACATAATAATGTGAATCTGTGAAAATATCTTTCAACTCTGCAGTTGATCCCACAAACTCCGATCTCGTTTGATCTGTCGCTTCTGCGTGAGCTCTCTCAACCAATGATTCACCGGAGCTCCGCAAGGACCGCCTCCCTCATTTCCATGCTGCACACGGAAAAGTAAAAATAAATAAATAAATCTGGAAATAAATACATGTGGGAATAAATAAATACAAAAAAATAAATGAATGCATGAATAAATAAATTTTAAATAAATATATATATATATATATATATATATATATATATATATATATATATATATAATTATAAGTAGATGCACTTTACTTTTATTATTTAAAAAGTGACCAAAAATTTGTGACCAATATTTTATATGTAGATATTTCTTCTCTTTAACTGTTTCTCAATGCTGCTACATGAATATGACGTAGCCTATCACAACACTACAGAGACCGAGACGTGTCCTGAGAGTCACATAAAATATAGATTAACATGGCAGAGGTAAAGCTGCATCTTCCACCAAATAATTATAATAAACTAAAGAAATAAAAGCGAACTATCTGTACCATACTGAATTGCATAGCATCATATTTTTTCAATTGCATGCATTGCATTGAATCCAAATTAGCTCAATAAAATATTCAAAGGATGCTCATGTCATTTGCTGTGAGAGAGTCGCCCCCTGCTGGCACAAGAGGGAGAGATTGAGCTAATTAAACAATCAATCAATCAACATTTATTTATACAGCCCTTTTACAACTCTCAAGGTGAACCAAAGTGCTTTCCAATAAAAACAGAGCAATAAAAACAAAGATATAAGCCAACAACAAACAATCAGATGAACGTTTTGGACTGGATAGCAGTGTTATGCTAAGCGTGTTAGTTCGGGGTGAGGTATTTATACTGTATGTGCTGCTCTCTACCCCTCCCAGTTTACAAACTGATAGGAACACCTTTCCCAAGAAAGGATTAAGGTACATCTATTTTATCTCAAATTAACTAGTACAGCAATGCAATGTAGGATTGTTCTGACGTATGTCATGCTTTCTTCCGCAGTCGCTGTGGCAGCGGCCAATCAGAGGGAGAAGTGAGGGAACGCCGTCATTCCCACACGATCACCAGCATGACGGATTCAGAGAGCCCGCCGCAGCTGCCCTCACCGACACACGTGACAATATTTTATATGTAGATATTTCTTCTCTTTAACTGTTTCTCAATGCTGCTACATGAATATGACGTAGCCTATCACAACACTACAGAGACCGAGACGTGTCCTGAGAGTCACATAAAATATAGATTAACATGGCAGAGGTAAAGCTGCATCTTCCACCAAATAATTATAATAAACTAAAGAAATAAAAGCGAACTATCTGTACCATACTGAATTGCATAGCATCATATTTTTTCAATTGCATGCATTGCATTGAATCCAAATTAGCTCAATAAAATATTCAAAGGATGCTCATGTCATTTGCTGTGAGAGAGTCGCCCCCTGCTGGCACAAGAGGGAGAGATTGAGCTAATTAAACAATCAATCAATCAACATTTATTTATACAGCCCTTTTACAACTCTCAAGGTGAACCAAAGTGCTTTCCAATAAAAACAGAGCAATAAAAACAAAGATATAAGCCAACAACAAACAATCAGATGAACGTTTTGGACTGGATAGCAGTGTTATGCTAAGCGTGTTAGTTCGGGGTGAGGTATTTATACTGTATGTGCTGCTCTCTACCCCTCCCAGTTTACAAACTGATAGGAACACCTTTCCCAAGAAAGGATTAAGGTACATCTATTTTATCTCAAATTAACTAGTACAGCAATGCAATGTAGGATTGTTCTGACGTATGTCATGCTTTCTTCCGCAGTCGCTGTGGCAGCGGCCAATCAGAGGGAGAAGTGAGGGAACGCCGTCATTCCCACACGATCACCAGCATGACGGATTCAGAGAGCCCGCCGCAGCTGCCCTCACCGACACACGTGACGCAGCCCTTCCTGGGAAAAACACTGCCGACCAACGTGGGTGAGTGAAGTCAAACACTTCTCAGGTGTGAGATTTTACAGATAAAACCTCAGCAGATGCTCATGGCACATGAGATTAATCACGCTCTCTCTCCACAGTGGCACCAATCCCGAGTTCAGGCTCCGGTTCCCAGATCACACGCTCCAACAGCATCCCGGCGAATGACATGGGATACGAGCTGTACGGCACGTCTCCTCTGGGCAGCTCTCTGTCAAAGAGCATGATGAGATCTGGATCCTTCAGAGAGCCGAGTGAGGATGGTGAGCCATGGACAGTGTTCAAGAACCTGCCCTAACCTACTCCTGGATTTGATGCAACATGCATAAATGCTTTGTTTCGCTAGTGTTCAAATGCATAACAACTCAGACTAACTTAAATGTTTTATCTGTTGCTTTTGATGGAATAGAGAGTTTTATTATAACTATAAAAGCCCAAGTTTTATAGCTTTTAGTGTTTTCTGGTCCAAGAATTTGATGTTGTTTGATCTCATTTTTACTGGTAGCTCAATAACAGTATTATCTTAGAATTATTTATATACTTTTGTAGTATTTATTAATATTTGAATTAGCTTTTATTTTTAGATTTTAGATTATTTTTATTGCAGTTTTAGATATTTTCATACTTAAACGTATTACACTTAGTTGCCAATGCAACATTTTTATTAATTTTGATTAATGAATTAATCAATTTGATTTTTTATTATTTTTTTAAATGTTTCTATTTAACTTTTTTTTTTGCGCGGTTCATTTTGATAGTTCAAATTCAACTTCTTTCAGTTAGTTGCCAAATAAAAATGTTTTTTTCATCTAATATTTATATTTCATTTCAGCTTTAATTTCAATTGCCAAAAAAGTTTGAGTTTTAGTTAACAACACTGCTTCATGGCCAAACAAGATATCTAATAATGAAATTGAAACTGAACCTGTCTTCTATCGTAATACCCATTCCTTGTCTTATTTTGAATAATTCATAAGTGCATGTTATTCTAATCAACAATCAGATATAGATAAACATCATTCAAGTCACTACCTATGTTTTTCATGTCAAATATCTTTATTCTTTATTATCTTTATTTACAGCATCTTTATTTCCTTTAGAAATAGACCATATTATACAAATAAAATGCAAACAGAGTTTCTTGTTGCCTTAACAGCATTAACTTTTCTATTTTAAATTGGTGAACTTGAACCAAAATGTGGCTCTAGCCTGTATTTGTGTGCAATTTTGCTCTCTGTCTCTCAGTTCATGGATCTGTGCTGTCTCTGGCCTCAAATGCCTCATCCAACTACTCGTCGGTGAGTAGAAACTGATGTAACACGTTCAAATCTGATTGGCTCTTTATTTTCTGAAATTTCTCTTAACAACCAGTCTTTTTTCCTCTATTTCCTGTCCTTGCTCACGCTTTCTTGGTCTTTATTGCCATTTCTGAATCTTGCACTCTCAGACTGAAGAGAGAATGCAAGGAGAGGTAAGAATCTTCTTATGACGCTGTCGTCAGCTTGTCTTTATCCTTATTTTCCTCTTATTTTCTGCTATTGCTGAAGAAAAAAACACATTCATATTCACTTTTGATAGCAACTCATTCTGCAATATAAACAACATGTAAAACAACCAACTGTAGTTCTTCTTTAATGTGACATCAGTGTTATACTAATTGCATTACATTTTAATATTAAATCTTTTGCTGACCATAAATGTCTGTGTTTTGAAAATACCTTTGATTTGTAATGTTTCTAACTCATTCTTGCATCTCAGCAAATCCGGATACTGAGGCGTGAGCTGGAGTCGTCTCAGGATAAAGTGACCAGTCTGACCAACCAACTCTCAGCAAATGTACGCTGCAAAACACACCATTAAATACACAATTGCAGAAAAAAAACAAAAAACAGGGTTATATTACTTCATTCTATATTATTGGTATCATTTTAGAACAATACATTTCATAATTTCACAATTCATAATTGCATATTATAGATTTATTAATCATATTTCATTATTTAATTTTATGTTAACTAATTTTTTATATTTTTATTTTTATATTATATTTATCATATTCAATTGCATAGCATACAAATTGAATGTTTGTGTCATAATATCTATAAGCAAATGTCTTCAGACTTAAATGTCCGTAATATGTTGTCAGAGTTGTTTGTTTTTCAGACACACTGTCATGTCAATGACGTCACCAGCATTTATACATTCTGACACTTCTCCAAATGTTTCAATAATCATTGCTTGTTTTCTCAGGATTATTAATTGAATACTGAGTTTTGCCATGTAATGTTGATAATAATGATCTTTAAAATAGCATCATATGACCCCTTTAAAAAAAAAATATATATATATATAGATATATATAAATATTAAATTAAAAAAATCTAATTATTTAAATAAAGCTAAATGTAGGTAGAATTTAGATGCATTAAAGGTAGATGCATTAAATCGGAACATTTAAAATATTGCAAAATATTTATTTCAATTAAATGCTGTTCTTTTGAACTTTATATTTATCAAAGAAAAGTATGGTAGTTTCCACAAAAATATGAAGCAGCACAACTGTTTTCAACATGAATAATAATCTGAAAGGTTTCTTGAGCAGCAAATCAGCATATTAGAATGATTTCTGAAGATCATGTGACACTGAAGACTGGAGTAATGATGCTGAAAATTCAGCTTTGATCACAGGAATAAATTGCAATTTCCAAAATATTCAAATGGAAACCAGTTATTTTAAATTGTAATAATATTTCACAAAATTACAGTTTTTACCGTATTTTTGATCAAATACTTGCAGCCTTTGTGGGCATTTTTCTTTCATTCTTCTTACTTCAAGGCTTTTATATAACTGGTTATACACAAATTGACTGTTATTACAATTTTAAATACTAAACAGAGTTTAATCTATGAAATAATGTGAATATGTTTTGTTTCTAATATTCTAATAAATCACAGGGATGCACAAAACACAAATGTCACCATTTCATTAAAACTGACACCAAAAACAGCCAGAAAAAGGCACTTGTGTTAGGTTTTAACAATGGAGTTTCATGGTTTGTTTGTGAAAAGTTTCCTTTTTACAGTGGAATCAGATATGTTCATGTTTCAATTTTTAACATTCAAGTGTATCTTTGGCTTATCATTTCAGGATTCTGAGCTAGTGGACCTAAGGGAAACCATAGAAGTCCTAAAGACCAATAACACAGAAGCCCAGTCCATCACTCAAGGGGCCCTCAATGTCCCCGACACCACACCCAAAGGTTTTTTTTTTATTTTTTACATTTATTCATTTTCATGCATAATAATACATTTTTTGTTTGTTTGTTTTTAGACTTGATGGAAGTGTGCTAAATGAACACTGATTTATTTTTCCCTCAGAGCTGCAGATCGACCGGCAGAACTCGTCAGAGAGCATCTCCAGTCTGAACAGCATCACCAGTCACTCCAGCGCCGGCAGCCTGAAGGAACAGGAGGCCAAGAAGAAGAAGAAGAAGAGCTGGGTGAGGATGTGAACTGGAAAAGAAAACCATTTCAGATGGTTTTATCTTTGGTTCAGGCTGGTCCAGGCTGCTCATTTAGCTGATCTAATATGTGTAATGTAGATGATCTGTTCCAACGTTGCAATTCAGTATGACTCTTCCCTTTGCTTCCCTGCTCTCTATTTCACAGGTCTATGAGGTGAGTTGTTTTCCCAGCCCATCCACATCCATCACAATCACAGCATACTTGACGCTTCTAAAGAAACAATCAATATCTTTTTGCCATTGTATTATGTGGTCAAAAACTCAGTCAATATGTCGCAGCGAGTTAAAATTGGATAGTATAGTGTGAAATGGATGCTTTCAGGTTTAGAATCTGCCACATTTAAAGGATGAATTTGTGTTTTAGTAATATGCAATGCAATATACTGTACAATATATTAATAGTCATATTGACTGAAAAATGAATTTTCCACATGGTGTTTCAGGTGTCCTGTTAACTCATTATTTCATGCATTCTTAAACTGTTTGATATGTGCTTTGTGATTAATACTGTCATAACTAATGCCTACGACGAGCATATTATTATGAACCGTGTCAGGGTAGACGCCATAGATAATCAGCGTTATTGTATACTATTATAGTATAATATTTTGAATGAGCATTTATTGTTATATATTTCAGTTAATTTAATTTATAATTCAATTTAATTTATTTAAATTTTAGGTTTAATATGTGCTTTTGTCATTTTTTTTTGTTTTGGGGTTTTTATATTTCTATATGTCTTTAATTTATTTTTATTTCAGTGTTATTTTTAGCAGTACTTCACCTTATTCCAGTTAGTTGTCTAATTTTAATTTAAGTGTAAGTGTTTCCATTTGTTTATATCTATATATAGTTTTTCCGATGTTTTTTTTTTCATATTTATTTCAGATATGGAAAATGATTTGAAATAGTTCTATTTTTAGTTCCAGTTTTTGAGAAATAGACATTCATTACATCATACTACTAATGCTAGATGAAGCTTTGCTGGAAAATAAAGAGACTTGTTGGATCATTCTATCTAAAATTCACTGTTGAGACACTTAATGCATATGCCATCATAAACACATCAAATCCTATATGCCTCCACTGCATTTTTTGTTTTGCTATTAGCTGCCATTATGAATCCAAACTATCTATACGAACACTCTGGGAATTCATACTTTTTTAAAAGACTCTCAATATAAAGTGGTTGCTGTAGTTAAACGTTGACCCTCATTTCTCCTCTACATGCAGTTGAGGAGCTCCTTCAACAAGGCCTTCAGTAAAAAGGGTTCCAAAGCACCTTACGCAGATATAGAGGAGATCACAACCCCGGTCACATCCGCCCCATCTTCACCCAAAATCATCCACAATGTGGATAATGCCTCGGCTTCAACATCAGGGTAGGAAATGCAACTGTTGAGGTTCTTCACAAGATGATTGGAATTACGCAGCATTCACCTTTCATAGTTATAGCTTTGATGTCGGTA